ATAGTCGACTGTAATAGTTTTAAATTTGTAGTCAATGAAGAGCTTTTTATGAGAAATTTTAAAGAGCAAAATAGTTTCATATAAAATTTTATAATTTAAGGTATACAATTTAGTAAGCAATAATAAATACGTAAAGAACTTTTAAAGGGGCACCAGAAATTTGGGAATGTGTTACGGCATTGTCTTAGCTATAATATAAATTATTACAATAAATGATTATCAAAAGTATAGTTTAGATCTTTTTTATTATAAGTATATATATATTTTTTAATTATAATTTAATTAAATTTAAGCGTTAATTATCGTTTTTAAGTTATTACTTAAAATTTATTTAATCCGAATTCTTTTATATATATCTTTTATAATAATGAATTTTTACTTAATTTTAAATTTTTAAATTTTTTTTTATAATATTATTTACGGAAAAAAAATGCTACACTGTACAACTAACTTAACTAATATGATATTACAGCAAAGTAAAGTATATAAAATAAATGTCACTTAAATTTGTAGTTATTTTTATTTTATAAGTAAACAATTATGTTTTTAACTTATTATTTTTTTTTTAAGGGGTAGCCGGATGCTTTTTACAACTTCACCATATTCATGGAACTGAAAAAAAGTCTAATTTTCACTATCACAATGGTTCTCTTTTCTTGTTGCAACCTTCAAATAATTATAATAATAATTATAATAACAATAATAATAATGTTTCAATAATATTTTAAAGTTTGAAGACTATTATATAAATTTTTAGGTAATACTTCTCCTAAAAGTTACGGTCATGTTGGATTTTTGGTGGACGACGTTTATCAATTATGCGATCGGATGATTAAAGATGGCGTATCTTTTCAAAAGAAACCAGATGAAGGGAAGATGAAAGGATTGGCTTTTTCATTAGAGTTTTTTTTTATATATATATAAAATTATAATGTCTTGCTGACTAAAATAATAATTATTATAAGTCCGGACGGCTATTGGGTCGAAATAATTAAAAGATCAGAATCTGCTTCATTTAGAAATAAAGTTTTTTCCTATAAACTAGCGTTTCATTATTTTTATAAAGTTTTAGAAAATTTTTTATTTTTTTAAAAAAATAAATATTTTACTTATATTTATAAACAAAAAAGTTTCTCAATATTCGCGTTAACTTATGTTATAAGTTTTTAAAAAAATTTAAAATTTTACCATTTACTATTAACAACTAAGTTTTATTTATAATATTGTAAACTTTATAAATTTAGCGTTTGAATATTTTTGCAAGTTTTTAAAAAATTCTCAAATTTTTTTAAAATTTATAGAATATTACTTTACTATTAAAATTTTTTTTACACAATAATAATTTCATCTGATCATAAAATTAGATTATTTTTTTAAAATTTTAAATCTTTAAAAATTTTTATTTTGTATTTTACTATTAGTAATATTTACAAAATATCAATTTATTCTAATTAAATAAATTTTAATATTTTTATAAATTTTTATATAATTTATATTTTAAACTGACTATTAATAATTTTTACAAATTATAATTCCACCTAAATAAATTAATTTGATTCTTTTTATAAGCTTTAATATTATTTAAAGATAATATTATTTTACTTATTATTTATTTAATAAAATAAAGTAGATATTAATAAAATTTATAAATATTTCTATTTTACTACCAACAATATATCCAAAAAAAACATTTCCATCTTTTATTTTTACGTTACTATTAATAGTTTTTACAGAATAATAATTTCATTTATAAATTTTCAAAAAATTTCCTAGCTTACTATTAATAATTATACAGAATACTGTGTCCACTTCTTTATATTTTTTTATTTATATGAATTTTTAATAAAATTTTAATTTTCTAGCTATTTTACTTACAGATAAGTATTTTTTATAAAGTAACTCTTACAAATTAAATAGAGATTATTTATATAAATTTCTAGTAAATTTTTAAAATTTTTTATAATATTTTACTTTACCGAGTAGTAATTTATATAAAATAATCTTAAATTAAAGTATAAACTTATATACTAAAGGCATCGTTTCAGCAAGTGATGCTCCGAATTTCAAATCCGGAAAGAACGCTTCAATTCTATAAAGACATTATGGGGATGACTTTGCTTCAAAAAGTTTATTTATAATTAATCTAAATTTAATTTCAGTTTATAAGTAAAAAAAAGACCAACATTAAAATTTATATTAAATTGAAAAATTTGTTAATAGCTTGATTTTCCTGAAGGAAAGTTTACTTTGTACTTTCTTTCTTCTCTAAAGGAGACCGACTTTCCCAACTCCGGTATTTTTTTTAAGATTTTTCAATTTTTAGATTTTTTATTAATTATTATTGTGGTAATTGAAATTTATATAAATTTTTTTGAAATAAAAATTTGTGATACCCACCAATATAAATTCCCTTAAAAAAAGATTATTTTATATATATTTTTCTTTTGTCACATTTTAAATTTTTTTTATATATATTCACGTCGTAGATTATTAAATTTAATATAATTGGGTCAATTAAAAAATAATAAGTATATTTTCCTAAAAAATAAAATATGCATTCCTTTTTTTTAAAAAAAAAAATTTTTATAAAAATTATTTTACAATTTTTTTTTTACGATTTATTATTAAACTTTTTAATTAAGCAAAAAAAAAAAAAGTGGGTAAAGAATTTTTTTCTTTTCTACTGAAATAAAAACTTTTTTTTTCTAATTTGAAAGTTTTTTTATAAAATGTTTCTTTTTTTTTTTTACAGAATTTTTACGTTGTGGCTTTTCAATTAATTACTATTTTGATGGTATAGAAAACTAATTTAAAAAGAAAAATTTGCTAAAAATAAAATTTGCTATACCAAATTAAAATTTTTTTCTAAAAAATAAATTTTATTTTGAATGTACTTCGAAGTTTTAAATATTATTCAAAACTTATAATTTAATTTAATTAAAATTTATCATAATAAAGATTTTATTTTTGAAAGTCAATTATAACTTTTTTTAAGAGTTGGGAAGTGATAAAAGAAGCCAATTTCTTTGGAGCTGGGAAGGAACCACGATCGAACTGTAAATTATTATAATCATTATTATTACTATTCATATTATTATTAAAGAACGCATAACTACGAGGAAAGCGAGATTAAATTTTACCAAAACGATGAAAAAATTATAGAAGGATTTGACGGCCTTTCCTTCTCTGTGCTATTTTATATACCTTTTTTATGTTTCCTGTCACCTGGTCTCAAAAATAACTGTGCTTTGATAGGTGGACTCGAAAGGCAAGGCCTCCCGGCTATTGGAGAAACACAAAATTGCTCACAATCTCGGGAAGAGTCTTCTCAGTTTTTCAGATCCCGGTTTTTTTTTAAATTATAATATTTTAATTTATAAATCCATTAATCTTTTTATTAAAACGTATAAATCTGTTTATCAGATATTATTTTTTTATTGAATTTAAATTTATATATATTTTTTTCACTCTTATCTTTTTTAATTAATATAAATTTATTTATATGTAAATCTGTTTTTTAGATTTACTTTTTATATTAATATTGAAATTAAATTTTTATAAACATTTTTTTTAATATAAGCATATTTATTAATAAATCTGTTTTTCGTATCGTTTTTTTTATTGTAGAATTTGATAAAATATTAATTATATTAATGTAAACACATATATAAATCCGTTTTTCTATTAAATGTTAATTTTAATATTAAATTTTAAAGATCTAATCTTTTTTTATTGATGTAATTTATTTATATGTAATTCGATCCCAATGCCGCTTCTATACAGTAATACTAGATAACAACACTGGCTGCACAGTGCTCTTATATAAAATCCATATACCGAACCCTATCATATAGGTTTGAGTTAACTCCGATAAATCACGTGCTCATACCATGTGTATGCAGTTGTGCATGATACCATGTGCTGGTATCACGTGTTTCTACGTTTTCTCCGCATTTTGTACCTTTTGTATATCTCCCCTGAAGGTGTAATTACCATTTCCATTTCTCTATGGGGCGATAAACTGACCGCTCCTCTTCTTTTTTTGGCGAACAGTGTTTCATGTCATTCGCCTACGGAAGGCTATTAACTCGAAAAAAAAAAAGAGTACTTTTTTGGCGGTGCCGCATATATATGCATATTAGGAAGCAAGACTATTCTAATACTATCCTTTATTAGTATTATACTAGAATGCTATACTATTTAAGAAGTAAGCACTATTCTTTTCAAGATAGCATCTCTCACAAGGATAAGAGAAGCACTTCTAGTACACCCCTAGAGGGCCCCCTCAAACGGCTAATTTACATTTAGTATTGCTTCTTTAGAAAATAAGTGCAACCGAAAAAAGCTAAGATTGTACTTGAATTTATAAGCTAAAAGGCTAATGCAATGAGTAGTACTAATAACTCTGTTCGCCGTTGGCAGTATTGGCGGTAAATGACCGGTTCGAAACTGGTACTCCTCATAAAGGTGGTCGTTGTATAGTGTTTTTTTGCACCTTTATGTAATGTAGCGATGCGTCGCTTCGCATATAGAGTAAGGTACAATATGGTATTCTATATATTGGGCTGCTCTCCGAATAGTGTTGTTTACTAGTAGCTACTATATATAAGCGGTAAATATTCCAATTTTTTTTCTATATATGAATCTGATTATCAGATTTCTAATCTTTTTCTAATTAATAAAAAGTTATATATACTTCTGTTTTTCTGATACCGGTTTTATTTGATGTTATATTTAAAAATCTATATACAAAAATCTTCCAATCTATAAATACAAACTTATTTACTAATATTCTGTTCTTTAGACCCGATTTTTTAATTTTTTTATTATTTCTAATATAAACTATTATAAATATTAATAAATACACACTAGATGGATACCCAATCAAAGTCGTTGCAAAAGAAAATAGAGCGGAAATTTGAAATTAAAAATTTAAATTTTCAATTTTAAAAAAAATAAACTTTTTTAACCAGTAGAAAAATGTAAAAAACGTAGTTAACTTTTATTCAAATTGCCTTTAATGTAATATAATTAATAAAAAAATTCATTGGTGGATAACAAGTGGAATTTCAGGACGAGAAAGGCGGACGCTGCGACCAGGCCTGTCCAAACCAACAAAGTCAGCATCTGATTGTACCACAAGCGTATACAAGCAAACGTCTACAAATAAAAAATCGCTACTAAAAACGCAAGTGCTAGATGCAAAGCATACCACTAGCGCTGTCGTCGTCTAAATATTTAGAGTGGCCGTCCGCCACCACGCAGAGGCGCCATTTGCTGAAATTGGCCTCTGAAAAACCGCCAGCCTTTCGTATGCGGTCACGTGTTTTATCTAGCGGTTCTCCCTTTACGAGGCGCACTAGGTACGGCTGCCCGTGGAGGTTATCTGGCTTTTGGTGGAAGTGGCAAACAGGCACGAGAGTTTCTCGTTCGTCGTCGAGCTCCTGTTGGTCTTCTGGAATTTCCTGCAAAACAATAATGAATAATATTATTAATAAAATAAAATAAAACCTCAAGTCGAAAATCTGTGCCCAGCGGGAGTTCGCCACACGTGGTGAGCGTATCACACACGTGGGCAATCTGGAAGTGTTTTATTTCCAAAAGACGGTAGGCATCGGGCGACTTTTCTGATTGGCCCGTGGCGGACAGAAGGCGGGCGGTCGCCTCTTCCACGGTTTCGCTCGGGTCCATGAGGAGCTTGCAAAAAAGTGATACTTTTAAAAGTATATCAACATAAAAACTTTTTTATAAATATTAAACCAAAATAAAATTTATATTATATTTTTTGTGAAAATTTATAATAAGAAAAAAAACCTTTTTCATAAACGTTTATGCATAAATATAATTAACTAATTATCATTATTAGTATTACTTTAATTATTTAACCAAAAACAAACTATTTTTGATATAAATTCAAATAAAATAGATAATTATGAACTTTTATGTAGTTTCTTATCAAATATTAAAAAATGTAAAATAAAAAACTTTTACTATTATTATAATTATTATTAATATTGTTATTTTTACTTTGTGATTGCGGCCATTAAAGTTAATAAGCAACAAAACTTTGGCTTCGAGCTCGCTCACGCTGATATCGAGAAGCTCGAAAAAAATCGACAGCATTCTACTGCTTCGACATTTACTCATGAAATCGCTGACCGTTTTAAGAGTTTCATGGCGCAACTTTTTTCTTTTAAATGCATGATCAGGTTTTCCAGTGATTCTAAATGGTAATGATAATTATAATAGTTAAAAAAATAATAAAAAGTTTATTTATGTATAAATATAATATATAATAAAAAATAAGGAACCCAACAAAAAAAATATTTTATAAAAATTATTTAATTACTAATCCATGCTTTGAAAAAAAAAATAGTTATAAAAATATTTTACAAAAAGTTTCAAGAAAAAAAAATGAAGAAAAGTGTTATGCGTAAATATTTGATATATAACAAAAAATAACTGAATCCAACAAAACAAATTAGCACAAAAATTAATGAATCAAAGTTAATAATTGCATTATGCCGAAAGATAATAGTAATAGTTAAAAAATATAATTAAAAAGTTTGTTTATATATTATGATATTTAAAAAATATAGTTAAAAATTTTGTATATATATTATGATATATAAAAAATAGAGGAGCCCAAAAAATAATTTTAATAATAGTTAAAAAAAACCAGAAAAAATTATAAAATTCGGATAAAATATCGGAAAAAAGTTTGTATATTTTTAATATATAATAAAACATAAAGGAACCCAAAAAAAATTATCATAAAAATTTATGATTCAAAGTTAATAACTGAATGTTCTAAAAAATAATAATAGTTAAAAACTATAGGAAATTGAAAAATATTAAAATTATAATTTAAAGTTTTTTTATGTATAAATATTATAATATTTAACAAAATAAAAACAACGAATAAAATAATCATAAAAATTAATGAATAAGTTTTTCTAGTGATTGTGGAAATTAATTAGTAATAAAAAAAATCAAAAAAAGTAGAAACCAAAAGTATATTCTTCCTTTATATATAAAAATTATAACGAAAAATAAAAAACCAAACAAAAAAATTAAAAAAATAATGAATTAATTGTAATAAAAACTTCCTTAAGTGTATAATTATAATGAAATATTAAAACCAAAAAAATAAATAATAAAAAACGTTAATGAATATATATATAAATACTTATTACTATTATAAAAAAATAAATATATAAAATGTAATGTTTTATTTAACCCAACAAATAAGCAATCAAGAATTTTTAGGAATAAATAAAAGATATAATAAATTGCGTTACTATAATAAGTGTAAAATAGAATATAATCTTTTAACCCAAAAAATAAATTAATGAAATTAAATTACTATTATATATAATGTTATAATATCTAATGATATATTTGAACCCAATTTATATAATCAAAGATATTTGTGGATATTTAAAAAATATAATAAATTTTATTGCTATAATAAAAAGTGTAAAGTATAATGAAATTTTTTAACTCAACAAGTAAATAAGTAAAAATAGTCATATTAAAAAACAATAAATTTCTTTGATATTGTAAAAAATGTAAATTAAAATGAAATTTGTAAGCCAACAAATCGAATAATAAAATAACAATAAAGAGTGGATTATTAAAAAGTGTAAAATATTATAAAATATTTTAACCTAACAAATATAATAAATATCATTGCAACTAAAAATAAGTGTAATATATAATAATGAAATATTTTAGTCTAACAAATATATAAAAAAATAATAAAGCTTTATTGCGACTATAAAAAATGTAAATTTTTAACCCAACAAATAAAAATAATATAATATAATTTCAATGCTTATAGTGAAACATTTTAACCCAACAAATCAAATTTATAATTATGAATGAATAAAAAATGAATAAAAACGTGGTTTTTTAAAAATAACAGAAAATGGTGGCTCATTAGCCAATTGTGTCAAAGCCGGCTAGTTCTAGAGTAATTTCTGTTTTCTGATTAGCACTCAACTGTACGCTTTAATCAATAAAGCCTTTGACACCAATTACACAGCGTTAAAAGACCTCAAAATTGATTTAGAAAAAGCGGTACTTCCGTAGTACACAAAATGCTAAACTTTTTATTTGATAAAAAAATAATAAATGCTCCAAGAAAAAAGGGATATATTATTTTCATAATAATTATTGCAATAAACAAGCCAATATAGATTATCAATTTACGGGTTTTCGCTTAAAAATCGAATCCGTTCGGGATGCTGGAATTTTATATGTTCAGCTACCAATTCAGCAACCTGAAATTAATAGTAATAGTAATAAATTTAGTAATTATATATAACAAAATATTAAAAATGATAAAATACAAACATAATAATAATTATAAAGTAAAACATAATAATGAAAAACTTGAAAATATAAAATATTAAAGATAAAATGTATATTTGCTAATAATAATTATGAACACAATAACACCATATATATAAATAAATATTTTATACTTAAAAGTAGTAAGAAAAGTAGAAAGGTATATAGAATAAGAGCATTAATAATAGGGATAAAGAGTAATAAAAAATAAGGTAAAGCAATACTATTATAAACTTAAAACATGAAATATAAATAATAATAATAATGAAACAATAAATATTTAATAAAATAGAGAAGTAAAAATAAATATAATAATGATAAAAAAGAAAAGAAGAAGGTAAACAGCATTAAATAAAACTAAGTAAAAATAAATTATAAACAAAAAAAATAAATGTAGTGAAAAACTTATATATTTAAAAAATTTAAAAATTATAATAGTTATTATAAATATTATAATAAACAAAAAAAATAGTTTATTAATTCAAAAATAATAATAAATAATAGAAAAATAAAAACTTGAAATATATAAAATATAAAAGATTTTAATAATATAAAATAAATAATAATAAAAAATTAATTGTAGTAAAAATATAAATATATAAAAAGTTACATACAAATAATAATTTTTATTATAAAAAAACTGTTACTAAACATAATAATAATACAAAAAATTAAAACATTCATAAAAAATAAATAATAATAAACGGAATAATAAAAAAATAATGAACTTTTACTAAATATTATAATAATTTTAAAAATATATTTGAAAAAAAAAAATAATAATAATAAAAGTAAAAAAAAAGTTAAACAGTAAAATAGAAACTAAAAAAATATATAAGATCTAAAATTTGTAATAAAAAATTTATAAATACTAAAAATAAATATGAAACTTTTACTAAAAACACAATAATACAATAATAAAATATTTAATAATAATTATAAACAGAATAATAATAAATATTTAACTTTTTCTAAGCATGATAATAATATAAAAAAATATTTTAACATAATAATAATAGTAATAAATAATAAACTTTTAAATAATAAAAATACTAAAAATAATAATAATAAAGGAACAGAATAACAGTAATAAATAATAAATTTTTATTATACATAATTATAACATAAATTTAATAATAATGAAAGAAAAAATTAGTAAAGTTAAAAAAAAAACTTCAATATATATAAAATAAAAATTAATAAACTTTTACTCAAATAAAAATAATAATAATAAAAGTATTACTTTAAAGATAATATTAAATTTAAGTAAAAGTTTATAGAGAAATATACAAATTATATATAAAATGTATAGTAACAATAATTAAAAGAGTAATAATAAATAAAGAATAAACTTTTACTAAATATTATTATAAAAAATAGTAAAGACACGAATTATAATTTACTTATAAAGAATAATAATAAGAAGTATAAAAGTTTTTCTTACAGTAAAAAAATATATATAAAAATAATAATATAAAAAAAATAAATATAAAGGTTTTTTTTTTAAAGAAGTACTTAATAAAAAATTAAAGTTAAATAATAATATAATAATAAATATAATAAAAAAGTAGATATAAAAGTTTTTCGTATAGAAAAAAATAAAAAATTATATAACAATAATATATACGAAAAGTTTAAAAAATAAAAAGTAAATTAAAAAAATATAAAAGTTACAGAAAACAAACAAAAAGTTCATAATAAAATTTTTTATATATGAAAAATGGATTATAGTTAAAGGTTGGGGCAAGACAATAAAAAAATTGAAAAATTATAACGAAAGTTTTAATGAAAAAACTTTGAATAAAAATAAGCCAATGAGAGACCTGATCATAGTTCATGTCAGCTAATAAATTTAAAGTAAACGGCTCACTGAATTCATAAGAATCCTTGACGGCTGTTGAAAGCTCCTTATTATCTTTGAAGTACTGCTGCACACAATATTCGCCCGCAAATTTAAAGGTGACATCAACGTGCTTTGCCAAGCGGGCGCAGTAGTGCTCGGCTGTTGGGAACTCGCAATTGTTGGGGATGTTTTCTTGAAAAATAAGGATATCTCCGTGCCGAAGATTCTGTAAAAATTATAATTATTATTATAAAAATATTAAATAATAAATAACAAATAAAAATAGTTATATATTAATAACTAAATAATATATATATAATACATATAAAAATAGTAATAATATAGAATAAATGAACAAATGATAATAATAACTTTATATAGAAGTAACCCAATCAATAATAATTATGATAATAAAAATAAATATAGTCATAATAATAATAAGTAACTCGGCCAATAGTAACAGTTGTAACGCACTCGCGCGCGAGTTTGCATTCTTCCTTGAAGATTCTAATTGGTAGTAAAAGTTATCATAATTACTAGTGAAAATATTTTGCAGGATTTTTAGTAAATAATAACAATATATGCATGATATAGTTGTTCACTATAAAAACTTTCGGATACAATTGTAAATTAATTAAAATATTTAAATATAAAGTTTATAAACTTTATAGTTTCTATATTTAAAGTTTAATAATAATAATAAAAGTAATAATAAAGACAATAATAATATAAATATGATACGTAAAGCGTGTTTGAGGGTCCAAACCGGTCATTTTTATAAATAGCGGGATGATATCAAGCAGCTGTAATTTATAAAAAAAGGTAATAAAAGTTTATGCTATGAATCTTTAAAAAAGTAGATAATAATATTTAATAAAAATTATAAGAAAATTTTAAAAAAATTAGTTTTTCATATTAATAAAAAATAAAAAAAATATAATTATAAATTAATATAATAATAGTAAATTTTTAAAAAAATAAATAAGTATGAAACTAATAATAAATATCAATAATTATTGAAAATAAATGTAAAATAATAATATAATTAATAATAATAATTATATAATAATGAATACCAATAATATGTAATTCAAAAAATAAAATAATACACATATATATAAACCTAATAGATATAAATGATTACTAAAAGTAAATAATAATAATAAATTATATATATAATTTATAATAATAATAAAAATAATGAAAGTTGATGGTAAATATAATTTAAATAATAATAATACCTACAGAAATATATAAAATATCAATAAAAATAATAAATAATAAATAATAAAAACTATTAAAGATAGAAAAGTAATATATAAATATATATTTGGTGCCAAATCATGTCATATCATGTCATATCATTATTAACATAATAAAGAATATATAAAAAAGCAAAAAGGAATAATCATGTTAATTCATAAAAATAGTTTTAATGACTTTTTAAAAAAAGTTATTTTATTTAACTTTATATATTTGGAAAGTAATTTTTACATGATTGATACTAACTTTTATTAAATGTTATAAAAATAAAATAAAGTCGAATACGAAAAGTTTAATTTTTACAATAATCATAACTTTTTTTTTGCTTAACTAATTTTTAATAAAAAAAATAACAAAGTTCTTACTTTTCTTAAGCTTGGCTAAACAGTTGTTATTATCAGAGTTACTCATATAAATAATGAAACAGTCAGCATATATAATAATTTTTTTTAATTATCATTAATTCGATGTCTTGAAATTTATTGAATGTAATAAATTAATTAAATAAAATTGAAATTCTGCGTAAAAAAATTATGAAACAAAGAAAATAATAATAAGGAATTGGTTAAGCTATATTATAGTAATTATTTTTTTGTTATTCAGTTTATATTTACTTTTACTATTAATGAGCTATTATGTAATTTTTTTCTATTTTATTCAATATAATAGTTATTATTATTACAAACTTCCTTGATATAATAACAAACTTTAAAAGAATGAAAATGTATAAAAGTTAAATATACACAATAATATTAATTATTATAAAAAACCTATTAATAGTCATCAATCAAAATAAACAATATAAAAAAATATTACAAAATATTAATAAAAGTTATAATAAAAAATAAAAAGCAGTAAAATTAATTACAAAAAAAGTTTTTATAATAATAATAATAATGAAAGCTTACAAATGTTAAAAGTAAGTATTAAATATATTAATTATATATTAAAATATATTATGATTTTAATACATAAAAATAATAAACTTGACAGAAAAAAAATGTTATTAAGTAAAAAATAAGTATAATATAAAGAGCTATTAACTTAATTTTATATATATAAAAGTAAATAATATTAAATAAAAATAATACATATAAAGTAAAGAAGTTAATAAGATATTAATAATATTACTAAAAATAATTATAATAAAATAACAATAATAAAAATATAAATTTTTTAAAGTAGTTATAATAAAACTTATAATAATAAATATTAAGTTTGAGAATTATAATAATAACTAATAAAAAAAAAAAGAATATTATTATAATAAACATATAATATTATAAAAAGATTCGTTTAATATTAATTATAAATAAAAAAATAATACAAATAAACTAATAAATAATGCAATAAAGTCTATATAATAAAAATCATTATAATAATAAAACGTAAAAGAAATAGTAATAACAATATGAAATTCTTTTTATAATTATAATAAAACTGATAATTAATAATAATAAACACTAATAAAAAAATTAACGAATATATAAAATGAAGAGGTCACAAATTTTATAAATAATAACCAATACTGAATAACATATAGTAATACTAACTTTTTTATATTTTTTTAAATACTTTACTTTATATTTATTTTAAAAAATATATATTAAATTTATAATAAGAAAAGTAAGTAAAAAATAATACTAAAACCAAAAGAACACATCCGAATATAAAAAATAAAAAAAAATTTCAAATTTTATGAAAAATAATAAAAAATTTTTTCATTATATTTTTTATATATTTTTATAATTATACTTTTATATTTATTCTAATTATATATTTATATAATAATAAGAAAGGCGAATATACAAAAATAATATTACAATAATAATTGAACAAGAAGCAATAAAACATACAAAAAAAATAAAAATATACAATAATAATAATGAATAAAATTTTCATTATAATTTTTTTATATATTTTTTATTATTATACATTTTTCATATTTATTAAGAATTTATTTTTTTGTAATACTTATATTGATTATGTCTTTAATATTATACTTTTACATTTGTTTTGCATCTAAAAATGTGAAATAATAATAACATTTAACTCTAATAATGATAGCTAAAAATTTTGTAACATGTTATATGTTAAGAAGGAAAGTAAATATAAAAAAATATATATCATGTGTAAATAAGTAGTAAGAAGTAAAATATATTAATAATAAATAATATAATATAGTTATCAATAAGAATTATAGAATAATAAAAAGATTATTTTCAATAAAATTAAAAAAAAATTTATAGAAAAAAAATTATGTAATACATAATAATTAATAATAATAATTACTGTGGAATGGGAGGAAATATAATCGTAACCAATAATAGATAATTGCGAATGCAACGGTTCGTAAAACTTGAAAAAAATTCTGAATAATAATAAAAAATTAATAAATAATATATAGAAACAATAAAAGTCTAAATATTAAAAATAAGTAAGAAATATATAACTTTAAAAAATAATAATAAAAGCTAAAAGGTTTATATAAAACTCACAAAAAATTCTAAATAATAATAAAAAGTTAAAAAGTATCAAAAAAATTATAATTTTTATAAAAAATATAATAATAATGGAAATAAAAAAGCTTTTATAATAAAAAGCAGAAAATAAATTTTACTTTTCACATGCAACTATTATAGTAATAATAATAACATTCGAATATAAGTATGCATAGAAGAAAGAACAACACCAACAATAATTATAATAATAAAAATAATATTAATTGTAACACTATTTATAAGAAAATAAAAAATAATTATAGTACTTAAGTATAATATAATAAAACTGTAATAATAATAAAATTGATAATATAATATTATAGTAGCTACAACAATAATAATAAATAATAATACCTTTAATAATAAGTATTTAATAATAATTAATGAAATGATAATAATAAATAATACTTATTATATTAATAATATATAATATAAGTACAATATTTTATCGAGAAGCTCATTGTCTTGCACGCTAGTTAACATGACATTCTCCACAAATAACTTCATCTCATACTGTGAATGTTGGGAAAGTGTCATCGACCTTTTAGCTTTGTTGAGGTAAACGCTGGGTGTAGACGGGCTCTAAATATTTTTTCATTATAAAAATGGTTATATAAACTTTACAATAATAATAAATGGTGAAGTATTTTTTTAAAAAAGGGATAATATAAAACTCTTTGTGGTTATAAAAAGTATAAAAAACTAAAGATAATAAAAATGCGAATAGTATTATAATAAATGCTAAAAGTTTTTTTAAAAAAATTATAAAAAACTTAATGAAAACTTTATAATAAAAGTGCTGAAAGTTTTTTTAAATAAAAAATATCTTTTTTGAATTATTAAATTTATATTAATAAATTTTAAAAAAATAATATTTTAAGGAAAATTAAATTAAGAATAATGATGTAAAAAGTTCTTAGATGTAAACAAAAAAATTGAAAACTTTACTATAATATTAATAATAATAGTTATAAATAATAATTATAACAAAATTATAAGAACTTTATACAACAATTATAAAAGTTTGTGAAAAATAATTATAGAAAATATAAATTATAAAAAATTTTAAATAAATATAATATAAAAAACTTTTTTGCTCTAAGTTTATGAAAACTTTAAAATAATAAAAAATGCTAAAAGTTTTTATATAAACTAATAATAAAAACTTAACTATAATAGTAAAGTAATGTTTTATAAAAAAATACAAAAAAATAATAAAATACTAAAAGTTTAATATAAATTATAATTATAAAGTAAAGTGTGTAAAAAAAAATGCTAAAAGTTTTATAAGTAAATAATAATAAGATTGTAAATAATTATAAAATAATAATAAATGCTAAAAGTTTCTATTTAAGAAAATATGATAAACTTTTTTGGTTATAAAAAGTTTGTTAATACTTTAAAATAATTAATAATGTAGGAAAGAATATTAAAAATAGATATAACAATAAGAGATGCTTAAAGTTTTATAAAATCATTAAGATAATGATAACTTTTAAATAATAATTATAAAAATAAGTTAAAATATGTACTTTACAATAATGAAGTAAGGTTCTATAATATATAATAAAATAATAAATGTAAAAGTTTTATATAGAAAAAGAAAATTTCAATAAAAATATTAAAATAATAATAGTTAGTAAATAATAGTTTAAAAAATATTAAATATGCTAAAAAGTTTTAATATAAGAAAGATAAGATATAATATTTGTAAAAGTTTATAAAAACTTTAATATAATAATATTATAAAGTTTGTAGTAAATAATTATAAAATAATAATTAAGACAATTTTTAAAAAATATAAAAAATGCTAAAAGTTTTATAAGTAAAAAAAAAAACTTTTTAAAAGTTAATAAAAAAAATCTAAAAGTGATAAAAATAAAAAGTTTGTAGAAAAATAATTATTAAACAAAAATAAAAATGCTAAAAGTTCGATATAATACATATAAAAAACTTTTTTGAGTTAAAAGTTTATAAATAGTTATTTAAGTTTTAAATGAAAAAATATTTAAAACTTTTGAAAGAAAATAAATAAAATATTAATAAAAATTTTTTAAATACAAAAAATATTAAAAAAAAATTTATAAATTTTTTTTTAAATTTTATAAAGTATTATAAAAGTTCTATAAATAAAAAGTTTATTAATAAAGTTTTGATAAAAACAAAAAAATAGAGTAAAAAGTGGTAAAAAAATATAGTATAATAAATATTATAAACTTTATAATAAAAGTTAAAGAAATAAAAAGTTCATTAATAAAGTGTTTATAATAACAAAAAATATAAAATAAAATAAAATAATTAAAAATATTTAAAAAAAAAGTAGATAATAATGAAGTTACAATTAAAATTTTGTTAAAAAGTATTAAAAAATTTTTAATATAAGTTATAGTTTAATAATTATATTTTAAAAAAAATAATAAATTACTAACTTATAAGTTTAGCAAAAAAGAATAAATTTTCATGCTAAATAATAAAAGTAAATAAATAGATTAAAAAAATGATATAAATAAAAAGTAAATTTTTTTTAAAAAAAATTATAATAATAAATAAATAAATGCAAGTTTATTATAATAAAGTAAAGAAAAAAGTTTTTAATAGAAAAGTTCTACAAAAAAAAAGGCAAAAAATAAATAAAAGTTTTATAATAGAAATTTAGTAAAAAAAGTTCAACATTATTTAATTTATTTTCTTTGAAATTACTGAAAAAAAATTTATATATATAAATTTTTTATCGGAAAAGAAATTTGGTTAAAATAAGTTTTATAATAGAAAAGTTACACATTTTAAATTTTTTTCTTCAAATTAATAAAAAAAAATAAAAATTATATTTTTATCATAAAAAAGTTTCATAATAAAAAATATAAGTTTTCTGAAAAATAATAAAAAAATAAAAATTAAAAAAATTTATACAAAAGTTCAGCAAAAAAAAATTATAATTATTATAAATAATAGTAAAGTAAAAAGAGTTATATAATAATATATAAAAGTTTATGGAACAAAGTAAAGAAGATTTAATAATAATAAATTATGAAATAAAAAATAAATTTAAATTTAGTAATGAAAAAGTTTAGCAAATATAAGAAAGAGTTAAGTTGTTTTAAATAAGTATATAGCAAAAAAAGTTTAATATCATAAGAATAATAATATAGAAGTTGAGCAAAAATAAAAATAAAATAAAAATAAAAAAAATTTAGTAATAATTATAAAAATTTTTTGTTTTTTCTTAAAAAAAAAATAAAATAAAGTAAAAAAATATTAATAATTACAAAAAAATAAAAAATTAATAACATAGGAGTTCAGCAATTTTTTTATATAATTATAAAGTAACAAAGGTTTGATAACAATATAAAGGTTCAGCAAAAAGTAATAAAATAAAAAAAATATAAAGTTCAGCGAGAAAACAAAAAAATTAAGTTCCCCTATAAAATAATAGAAAAAAGTTCAAGAAAAATTATTAAAAAATAATTATAATAAATTATATATGATTTTACAAAAAAAAATCAAAAGATTGATGAAAAACAAATTTTATTAATACAAAAAAGTAGACAATATAAAAAGTTTTTTAACCAATCAGTTTTTGTAAATAAAAATAAAACAATAAATAAAAATAATATAAAAAAATTTTACAATATTAATAATTATAAATTAAAATAATATAAAAATTTATAAAACAATCAATAAATTAAAATGAAATAAAATATTTTATAAACGTAAATACAAAAAAAGTAAACCTATTAATTATTTTAAAATAATACAAAAAAATAAAGATAAATATTAATAATAGAAATATAAGTTTTAATTATAATAATAATTACAAATAAAAAATATTTTTAAATTTATATAATAATCAAATAATTTAATGAAAAAATATTTATAAAAAAGTAAAAAAAATACAAAAAAAAGTTTAATATAAATATTTTATAACAATCAGTTCCTTTAAAAACAGTTTATAAAAACAAAAAATACTAACAAATATAAATAATATACATTAAGGTTTTGATAATTATAACAAAATTTATATATAAAGATTCTAAAAAATTTAAACCAAAAAAAATAAAATATCGTTATTATTAATTTTCTTTATGATAAATATTAATTTAATTGGTCATTTAAATTAATGAGGGCCAACATCTTAATAATAAGATATTCAGATGAGGTGAAATTATAAGCACAGACCCATTATTGGTGAATTTTTACAAAAATTTTTTCCACACTTCTTAAACATTTTCTGAAGAAATAAGAGAAAAGTTTTCATAAAGTAAAAATATATATAAATACATCAGAAAAAGAAGTGAATTTCCATAATCGGAATTGTTGGGGAGGCAACCCCACAAGTTTCTCAACAATATTATATAATTCTTGAATTGTGGTGCTCCTTTTCACGCGAAGGGGTTGATCGGATTTAGGAAAGTCGTAAATTCCTAATAATAATAAAAATATATCGTTAAATAAAATAATAATCATAATAAAATATTCAAATCCCATTTAAAAAATAATAATAAACATAAAAGTTAATATTTATCACAAACTTTATTACAAAAGTATAATAAATATATTCATAATAAAAAAGGGCCACAAAAAAACTGCAAAAAACTTTAAACTTTTGTAATAAAAATATTTTTAGCAATAATTAAAATAACAGCAAAAAAGTGAATATATATTATAAAAACTGCAATAGAAAACGTTAAATAATAAAATAGTAAACTTTAGTAATAATAACGATATTATTATAGGAATAAAAATAATAACATATTAAACTTTATTGGTAGAAAACTTTAAAATAATAATATATTAAACTTTTATAATAATAATAATGCCATAATAAACTTTAATAATTATATAATAATAGAATAATTTTTTATAATAAAAAATGTACTTCTAGGTAATAACAATACAAATAATAAAGTAAACTTCCATAATAATAATAAAAATTATGATATAATAACCTTTTTTAAATGTATAAAAAAATATAATTAACATTTACAAAAAAAATCAATTATTTTTGAGAAAAACCAATAGATGTATGATTGCGCAGATTATCAAAAGTAATAATAGTGACGTCCATTAACGTGGCAGCCTCTTCCAATTCTCTTAACTTGCGCTGCTCCTCCACTTCTTCCCGTTCGAATCGAGCCCGGAGGTGTAGAGGAACGTCGTTAATAGAGACTTCGCATAAAACTTCCTTCAAACAGCTAGAAAAAAAGTTTTTATTTCTTTTTAACATAAAAAATTCATTAAAAAAATTGTGCCTATCGCGTATGTAAACCAACATATACGCGTTGGAATAGTGCTTCAATTTTAAGCGTTGGGGGTCCCGAAGTTGGCCGACTGCCAAGAATTGTTAAATCACTATAAACCAATCAGAAGACGCACCTTCCGAGGTATTCACGGCCGCATCGCTGCCATAGTTGCCTTCAATGGCCTCTTTAGCGTCCACCTTAGTCACGCGGTCATCATCTATCTTCAGCCAATCACCTGCCTCAACTCTGTTAAGTATGGCGCACACAAAAAAAGAACTCGAAGCATAAGAAACCGCCAATTTTAGGCTTATTAAAGACAACGTAATGGCCGCCATTGAGGTCACCAGCGTGCACAAGAACGGCATGCAGCGTGTAGCCCCCTAAAGAACCAGGCTCCTTTTTTTCAAGGTACTTGTCCTTCAAAAAAAGGGGGGGGGGGGGGGGGGTGTGTGTGAAATGAGAGGAAACGGCGCCCAAAGAAACTTTTTAGTGTACCAAATTAATGTGATCAGGAAATTCATAGCGATCGTTGATTTTCACCATCTGGTCGGCGTACAAATCGTACTCAAAGCTTGACATAATTACAGATTTAAATATAAATATTAATAAAGGCAAGCTCTAACACGTGCAGTATGGCCAATCTAATAAACCGTTTTAACTGCAGATGAAGAACGGGGGGGAACGACTGAAAAATGACTCCCTTTTTAGCATCCTGAGCATAAAAAAATTTAGGCCCGAAGAAGAGCGCGTACTGGCCGCCAAAGAGCCAATACCTGAAGACCATACCCCTCTGCTCGGTACTTGTTGTCCCCGTCAAGCGTCTCAATGGCCACATAGTCGTTAAAAGAGTCGTAGAGAGTCTTCATGCCCTTCACATTAAGCTAAAACCACGAGACAACACGCCTGGTGTAAGCACGTGAAAGTCAAGCGGAGAAGAAACGGACTACCTGAATATCGTAAAAAGACTCGCTGCGCTCCGACTGGTAATCCACGTGGATGCACTTTATAAAAGATTTCATTTTGCCCTCAAACAACTAATCAGTTAAAAAACGTGGGTG